CTGCCTGTCGCCCGCCTTGGAGTGTGCGCTCCCCATGCTGGCACCGAGCGCCCGCCGCGACGGCCTGGGCTCTGGGCCCTTTTTATGCCCTGCTGGGATCCTTCTAGAAGACACCGCGACACTCGCCCTTGCTGTATTGGCTGCAGCAGCGTGGCTGGAGGGCAGGAAATTGGTCCCCACTGTGACCAGTTAGTGTGGAAACTGCACAGCGTTCTCTCTTTTGGTAAAACAATAATAATAATTTAAAAAAAACAAACCCGCTCTTGTGTAAAGACTGAGGGTGAAAAGCACAGAGCGGTCCGCTCTCTGTAAATCATCTGTGATGGTGAAGTAGGTTCACGCCACACGCAGATGATAATTAATGAGTGCAGGTGTCGGGGCGCAGGGAGACCGGGGCTGGGCCCCCACCCCGTTAGCACCAGGGAGAACTCGCCCATCACGTTTCTCTTTTACACACTGACTGGAAACCAGCCACAGGCCGTGGGGCCCTGAAGGACCCCTGAGGCTAAGGGTCCTTCCTCACCGGGGGAAATGTTTCCCAAGGATGGGAAAAATGCAACAGTTCCTTCTTTTCCTTTTGGCTGCACTGCCAGGGATGGATGGAGCCCAGGGCCTGTGCGTGCTGGGCAGGCGCTCACCCCGGGTCCTGGAGGGCGGCAGCCCTTGGTACAGTCCAGCCCTCCTTCCCCCGCCAGGCCAGGGCTCCTCTCCTGGCCACAGGCCACCCACTGAACCTGGCCCGAGCAAGACAGCGTGCTCGGCCTCTGCTTTCTCCGGGAGAAAGTCGCATTTTAAGGCTCCGCCACAGGCACTAAGGACAAATCCCAGCCTGGCTCTGGGTCCCCAGTGCACCCAGCAGTGGTTACCCTGGGTTACAGGAAGCTTTACTTCTGAGCAGCGGGGAGCCCATGCAGGTCCTTGTACCCCAAGCTTTCCTGGGAGGGCCCTGAGTGCCGGTGAGTGCAGGGGGGTACATGCCGTACTCTGGGGCTCACGTGGAGGAAATGCGACCCTGCTGCCACAGCAGAGGGAGGTGCAATCTTGTGAGAGGTGGGTGGGCCACGGGGGTGCTGCCCTTAGGAAAGGGTTAAGCTCCTTGTGGCTGTCACGGCTTAATCTGTTAGAAAAGCACCATCAACCCTCTGGCTTTCTCCGTCTCACAGTACCACGCCCTCGGCTTTCTCGGACTGCAGAGCACCAGAGAGTAAACCTCTGTCCCTTCCCCCACGCGCTCTCTTACAGCAGCAGGAAAGACTGAGAAAGCGCATAACCGAGCTTGGCTGTCAGAGGAGCAAAGACGAGCACTTACAAACGAAGATGTTGGCCATCCGCGGGGCGACACTGTGCCGCACAGGGGGTGACACTTGTCGGGTGTCGTGTTAATACATGGACGTTACTCTCACGGCAGTAGACGGAGGTGAAGAAGATGTCGATCACACACGAACACCCATGCACTGAGTCAAAAGTCCTAAACCCAAGTCAACACGTTCCGGACTGGGCACATCCAGCTATTTCTAGACCAACCGCCCTAGAGCCCGGCCCGGAACTTATGATCTGAACATACGAATATGTGACAAATCCTGAAATGCAGTCTTCGCTCAGTCTCCCGGCGCGTCTGACAGATCGTTCCTGCACACTGAGGCTGTCGGGGTGGGGCAGCTGCAGCCGCACAGCCCACAGGACAGCTGCCGTACACACCCCTACCAAGGGCCGACTGCCCGGAACCCAAGTTGCTGCAGGTAGCGGTAAAGCTACGGCAACAGAGAGCTCTCCCTCGTGTGGTTCAGGACCCAAGTCGAAGGCATGCCTCCGGCAGAGCGACACGAGTGGACTCTCCCTGTGACAGGTGGGCCGAGGCACTTCTGGGTGACAGTAAAGTCCTCATCTGTACCTTTCACCTGCAAAGCAACCACAGTCCCCTCCCCAGGCACCACCTCTTTAACAGGTGCGCACGCTCCAGGCCATCATTTACCTGCCCCGTCACCCAACCGCCCAGGGCTGTGTCCCCGCCCCACGCCCCACGTGCCTGCCTAGACGACTCTAACCCCACAAGGGCTGCACCCCGTCTCCCTGGCCCCGCCTACCCCAGGCCTCCTGTGGGACTCTGGGTGGTGCGTCTTGCGAGTCTAAGCCTCTCCCTCCACAACTGGTCCTTCCGCTTCTGTGTTTGCAGGTCTTATCAGAGCCTGTTCAAACAGGTCCCAGCTGCACTGAAGGAGCCGGCCCCCCGGGGGCGGGAGGCCTGCCCACCAGCCGCCATGAGCAAAGCTGTTTTGGCAGCGCCAGAGATCGAACCCAGGACCTTGTGCAGGTCGGACAATTGCTCCACCGCTAAACTACACCCCCTGTTCCCCCATCTATATACAAAACAGAGGCGCCGTGAGAACGTCAAAAAAGTGTGGTGATTTGGAAAACAGTCTGATGGGTCCGGGGGCGGGAGGCCTGCCCACCAGCCGCCATGAGCAAAGCTGTTTTGGCAGCGCCAGAGATCGAACCCAGGACCTTGTGCAGGTCGGACAATTGCTCCACCGCTAAACTACACCCCCTGTTCCCCCATCTATATACAAAACAGAGGCGCCGTGAGAACGTCAAAAAAGTGTGGTGATTTGGAAAACAGTCTGATGGGTCCTCACACAGCTCAACACAAGTGTCACACAGCGCTCGGAGTTGTGCCCAGGGGGAGGGAAAACACATGCACGCGAGTAGAGACCGGTCCGCGGGTGCCCACAGCGGTGCCGTTCACGGTGGCCCGAAGCGGAAGTAGCTCCAATGTTTGATCCGCTGAGGAAAGGAAAGATGCACCACGGTCCGGTGCAACCGTACAACAAAAGTGCACAGCTGTGGAAGGAACGCAGTAGGGACACACACTAAGGCAGGGGCAAAACCCTCTCACGTGCCTGGCGAAGGAAGTCAGATGCCAAACAGCACGAACCGTCCAGGTCCGCTGGGACAGGAAACGTCCAGGTCAGGGAGACCCACTGAGGCAGAAGGCAGGTTCACTGTTGCTGGGGTCTGCAGGTGCAGCTCAGAGGCAGAGCACAGGCCTAGCAGGTAGGAAGCCCTGGGGTCGCTCTGTCCCCGCCGCTGAGGAGAGGAGCGGGTAACAGCTGATGTGTGTGAGGTTTCTTGGGGGCTCTAAACTTGATTAGAGTAACTGAAAATATACGAAAACCTCTGAATTGCACACTTGACCAGGCCGGGCACGTGGTATATGAATGGTACCTCAATAAAGCCGCGAGGCAAACACACAGCTGTGTGGGAAGCCAAGGTTCTGCAGGAGAGCGAAGCCTGATTTTGTTGTTCGACATTTGGGAGGAGGTGCTCATTCTGCCCGTGCCTTGAGTTGGGGATACAGATTCATCTCCCGCCCTCATGTTTTCCTAAGGCAGTGGCACGGCGGGGGGACGGACTGGAGATGGTGTGTATCTCTCAGATCTGTGCCACAGTGCTGCCCACTGCTTTCTGTGCAGCCATCAAAGTCACTTTGGAGCTGGCTGTGCACGCCTGCAATCCCAGCACTCGGGAGGCTGAGGCAGGAGGATTGCCATGCGTTCGAGGCCAGCCTGGGCTACACAGTGAGTCCAAGGCCACCCTGATGTGCACAGCGGGACCCTGTCTCCAAAACAGAACAAAACAAAACAACCACTTTGGGTGGGCTGAACATATAGTTCAGTGGCAGAGTGCTTTTCTAGAAAGCGCTAGGCCCTGTGTTCCATCCCCAGTACCACCCCCACCAAAAATAAATAAATAAATAAAATAAATAAAAAATAAGAAGGAAAGAAAAGAAAAAGTCACTCTGGAGTTCAATTAGCACTGCCTGCCCCCTGCTGCAAGGCGCGATCGATCGGTCTGTGTGCTCCTGCCAGTTCCCGCCAGCCAAGCACCAGCGGGTCACCGGCGCTCCAGCTAGGGGCTCGGAAGAGCAGGGAGGAAACAAGGAGCCGACAGTGCGAATGGAAAAGTGCAGAAAAACAAGACCAAACCTCACTCTCAGCCACAGACAGACAGCAAGCAGCCAGTTATCGGGATGATTTCCTAAAACCTGCTTTGTGCTGGCTTCCTGGGGTTGAGCGCGGTCTGTGGGGGCTGGCGAGGAGGCTGCCTGTGGGACAGAAGCTCCACTTTGCAGGGCTGCTCTGTGACTCAGGCGTGCACACCTGGGAGTCACCGGCTCTCTCCTCTGAGGCGCCGGCTCAAGCCCCGCCTGCTCTTGTACAAATGCAAGGGCCACAA